CTCTCTCGTCTCTCTACTCTCTTCTCTTCGTCGTACGTACCACCTCTCTCATTTTCTTCTTCTTCCATCTCTCTCTTTCGCTCTCTCTCTCTCTCTCTCTCTCTAGCTCTTTCTCTCTCTCTCTCTTTCTCTCTCTCTCTCTCTCTCTCCATTACTCTCGCTCGCTCGCTCGCTCTCTCTCTGCGCGCGCGCGTATGTGCGTGTTTGCGTGCGTGCGTACGCGTGTGTGTGTATTAATTAATTGGTAAATTAATATCTTCACCTCTCCTGGCAGCGTGCCCACGGGTTTAGAGGACGTATCCAAGTACCCGGATCTATTTACGGAACTGGCAAAACGTGGCTGGACAGACGAAGAACTCGGAAAGTTGGCGGGAAACAATTTACTCAGAGTGTTTGAGACGGTTGAACAGGTATGTGTGTGCGCACGCGTGCGTGTATGTGTGTGCGCGCGCGTGCGTGTATGCGTGTGTGAGTGCGTGTGTGAGTGCGTGCGCCAATCAATATGCTAAAAATATTTCAATTTACGATCTGCTGAAATTTTAAATTTACGATTTATTCTTAAGCTAACTTCACGGCACGAGCGAACAACGTAAACACAAACGCTAGTAAACATGAATGTAAGTAAACATGTACACAGGTAAACACAAGGAGAGGTAAACACGTACACAGGTAAACACAAACGCTAGTAAACATGAATGTAAGTAAACATGTACACAGGTAAACACAAGCAGAGGTAAACACGTACACAGGTAAACACGTACACGGGTAAACATGAATGTAAGTAAACATGTACACAAGTAAACACGTACACAAGTAGACACAAACGCTAGTAAACATAAATGTAAGTAAACATGTACACAGGTAAACACAAGCAGAGGTAAACACGTACATAGGTAAACACAAACGCTAGTAAACATGAATGTAAGTAAACATGTACACAGGTAAACACAAGGAGAGGTAAACACGTACACAGGTAAACACAAACGCTAGTAAACATGAATGTAAGTAAACATGTACACAGGTAAACACGCACACAGCTAAACACGTACACAGGTAAACACGTACACAGGTAAACACAAACGCTAGTAAACATGAATGTAAGTAAACATGTACACAGGTAAATACAAGCAAAGGTAAACACGAGCACAGGTAAATACAAAAAGAGGTGAACACGTACGCAGGTGACCTCAGCGCTTCGTCTGCTCGTCACAGGTGCGCGACTCATTTTTGTCCGTGCTTCCGGCGGAAAGTCTGAGACCGGAAGGAGCGGATCCCGACTGTAGCGCAGCACCGGACGTCCGGCGTGACGTCGTAACAACATTCGCCACCGCCGCACTGATGATCATCGCAGCGCGCTATGCGTAGATTTATCATATTCTTAGATTTATTATACTATATACAGACGCATCCCTACTTGCAAACGTTCAAGTTATGAACTTTCAGACATACGAACAAAGCTGTCTGTATATATACACAACCTTTAAAGCCATTCCCAGTCCCTGTTCCCCAGACTTTAAGTAATACTGGTAAAATATGCTGTCGAGTATTATTGGAGTATAGCTGTACTGTACAAACCTTTTTCTACAATGCTGTGTACATTATTCAGTACTTATAAGAGTAATGATGTACTTCCGAACAATTGAACTTACAAACAAACCCCAGGAACCTATCCTGTTCGTTAAGTAGGGGAGCTCCTGTACATATTTGTGATATATGTATGACATGATTGTGATACCGTATAATTATAATATATACGCGAATATTTATATCATTATTCACGTATTTATCTTAAAAGACTTCTGGGCGGAAAAAAATTCTTATTATATTAATTATGATCATAATTGATTATATATCATTCATATTATATTAAATATGATTATAATACAGAATGTTTGTAAGGCAATCTAGAAGCCTGTTTCTTTTTCCCCCCACTCACATTCTCTGTCTCGCTCTCTCGTTCTCTCTCGCTTTCACGGTTTCACCCTGCACACTGTCTGTCTGTCTGTCGGTCTGTCTATCCCCCAGTCGCTCTCTCCAGTCAGTGTAGCTATCGTTGATATGCCGATCACTTGGCAGTAACTGTGTTGTTGAGGGACCCTGCCTCAGCTTCCTCGCTCTGTGTTCACGGCATGAAGCCGCATCTTCCCGCATCCCAGGGGGCGCCACCATCGCGGCGATTAAGCAGACGAAGCTGCTGAAAAGCAGGGAGGCTGCGAGCGGCAACGACACCATGAAGTCGGCATCATCCTTCAGGGCAGCATCAGCATCAGCGCTCGCGTGCGTTCGTTCAGAGAGCGTTCAGAATTTCAGATCGTGCGTGCGTGTGTGTGTGGTGTGTGTGACTGCGTGTGTGCGCGTGCGTGCGTGTGTCTGTGTGTGTGTGTGTGTGTGTGTGTGTGCGCGCGCGCGCGTGCGTGCGGGTGTTCATACACAAACACGACAGCCATTTGCAAATATAAATACTGCAATAACGAAAACTAGAAAACGAGTGGGCTTGAAAGAAATGTTATAATTTTTGTAGAGATTAAATTTTACAATCATTTTCTCAAGTGATGTCATGTGAAGACCCAATATATAGCTCTCGATCAGGGAATGTACATTTATTAACTAGAGGGAGAGTCTTTACACCGCTACGCAGTTTCGTACTCATGGTACTAGTGTAACATTAGCATATTATGTCGAGTTAATGAGACATCATTACAGGCAATCTTCCTTTACCGCTGTAACAACGTAGGGGGGGAGGAAGAACGCCTACGCTGGGCATGCTCGAAAATAACATTAAAAAACTGCATATCAAAGGTATACAGACCATAATATTACACACATAGCGACTACATAATTTACATTACATTACCATTTTTGTAGTCCCCCGCCCCCAGGCGCCGTTATGCTCTGGCTTGGTCATGTACCACGTACATGCGTTTATAATACTACCCTATTTCCACATATCCATCCAAATAGTTACGTCGGCCAACCGTAAACAACCGCAAACTACAATTCTACAATTCTATTCGCTCTCGATCGTAAATATTCTCTGCTGATCGTTCGATTCCTACAATTATTCCTTAATCCTCATCACTACGTAGGGCTACCAGGTTTCGATATAGTCCCTTGAACCTTGAAGACTGATATTTACGAGGTTACTAAAGACTTTACGATCGAAAAGTTACAATTCCGTAAGAAAGATGGCCGACTATTCGTTAATTCGTTCGTCGTACGATCCCGAGTGGATTTTAAAACACAGCATTTTATTATAATATACACGATTTTATACAAGTAAATTATGGAATCATCGGGGCTTGCAAAATATAGCTTCTGTTACATCCAGCCTGGTTGGTGGTACTTAACACGAACACGTGCTTACGTACGTTCATCGGAACACACACTTACGTACGTTCATCGGAACACACACTTACGTACGTTCATCGGAACACACACTTACGTACGTTCATCGGAACACACACTTACGTACGTTCATCGGACCACACACTTACGTACGTTCATCGGAACACACACTTACGTACGTTCATCGGACCACACACTTACGTACGTTCATCGGAACACACACTTACGTACGTTCAACGGAACGCACACTTACGTATGTTCATTGGGACACACACTTACGTACGTTCATCGGAACACACACTTACGTATGTTCATCGGAACACGTGCTTACATACGTTCATCGGAACACGTGCTTATGTACGTTTATTGGAACACGCGCTTATGTATGTTCATCGGAACACGCGCTTACGTACGTTCATCGGAACACATGTTTACGTACGTTCATCGGAACACGTGCTTACGTACGTTCATCAGAACACGCGCTTACGTACGTTCATCAGAACACGCGCTTACGTATGTTCATCAGAACACGCTTACGTACGTTCATCGAAACACACGGTTACATACGTTCATCGGAACGCGCTTAGATATGTTCATCAGAACACGTGCTTACGTACATTCATCGGAACACGCGCTTACGTAAGTTCATCGGAACGCGCTTACATATGTTGATCGGAACACGTGCTTACGTACGCTCATCGGAACACACGCTTACATATGTTCATCGGAACACGTGCTTACGTACGTTCATCAAAACACACGATTACGTATGTTCATCGTACTTAGCAGGCAATATATTTTGAACGACAGACGACGATCGAAGAATCTTCGAAGACGATGGGAATGCTCTGAAATGAAATCGCTAAACGCGTCGCGCTGCTTTTGCTCAAACTTGGAATATTTGAAATACTTGGAATGTATCGTTACCGTCTCAATGATGAAAAACGCTCAAAGGACAATACTTAAACCCGTGGAATAGCTCCTCTCACCACGACCGCACGGTGGCGCCCTCTACATGCGAATGTACTGTATCCGCCATATTTTTTCGTACGTCGTACAGATATTTTTTGCGAATTCAGACTTGACGGACAATTTCGCGATCGGTGAATTATGAATTATTCGGTATTATTCGGCATGAATTATTCGCGTGTTGTTATTTTCGCAGACAGAGACGCGTTCGCAAAATTCGCGAAAATCAAACCACAGCGTCAAATATACAGCATGTACAGTAGTTGATGTGGAAATCTCCCCCACCCCAACCCCGTGGAGTCAGACCCTTGTATCCCAGTGTGGTGACCTTAGTGGTGACCCCAGTGGTGACTCCTAGTGGTGACCTTAGTGGTGACCCCAGTGGTGATTCCTAGTGGTGACCTTAGTGGTGACCTTAGTGGTGACCCTAGAGGTGACCTTAGTAGTGACCTTAGTGGTGACCCTATTGGTGACCCCTAACATCATAACGTCCCTGCAGTGCCCTCCGGTAGCAACCAAAAATTCGTGACAATTCAGTGGCGGTGCATAATTACAATTACATAACAGCAGCGCTGGCTAACGTCTCCTAACACTAGCGTTCCGTTGTCATGACTACCATGCTTTGCTGTCACGACAACGGTGTTCTGTCGCTGCGACTTCTGCGCCCAATCGTCATGACAACCGCATCACGTCACCGTCGCTGCAACAACCGAGCTTAGTCGTCGTGACGACCGTGCTACGTCGCCGTGACAACCGTGCTCCGTCGCCGTGACGACAGTGCTCCGTCGTCACGACGATTATGCTCCATCGTCATGACGACCGTGCTCCGTCATCATACAATCATGCTGCGTCGCCGTGACGACCGCGCCCCGTCGTCGCGACTACGGCTGCGTGGCGTGCGGCGGCCGCAGCGGTCAGTATTTGACCTCCTCGACGTAGTTAGCGGGAAGCATGCCGTGATGACCTGAACGCTCGACGGTGCCTATCACCCATCCGGCATCAATACGCTTCACGTTGACGATGCGGTCTCCCTCGATGAAGGACACCTCGTCCGTGTCGGCCGCCTCGTAGTCATACATGGCGCGGAACACCGACTGTGATGGGAGAGAGAGAGAGAGAGAGAGAGAGAGAGAGAGAGAGAGAGAGAGAGAGAGAGAGAGAGAGAGAGAGAGAGAGAGAGAGAGAGAGAGAGAGAG